TATAAACAAACATAATTTCTCTGTATTTAAAATGAATTTTTGTTTTGTATAAAATATTTGTATTCTAGATGAGCAAAACAGAAGAGCACAAATGGGAAAAAATGGTATGCTTTATAGTGAAAAATTAATATTCACTACTCTGTCATTCCAGTATTCCATTCACAACTTGCCATTCAATTATATATTAAAACACTGTTAGATAGTTTTGGTTTTTTATTATTAAGAAAACAAACTTGGGGAAAAAAACTTGGAAATTAAACTTACTATTTCTTTCTGTTCTCTTGGAAAAGATGAAAATAAGTACTGTTCTTATGCTCCAAATGCTACAAAGGAAGCAATCATCAGAAACAAAAGCCATTATTAAGATAAGTAGATTAGAAGATAAATAAAACAAACATTCCCCATTAAAGTTAAGGTACTTTATCTCCCTTTATATTTTGAAAATCAAATATCACAGTTTTTCTATCAGACTATACCAGAAGTCTACCTGCATTTCAGAGAAGAAATTCTCATTCTTAAAAGTCCATGGATATTTTGAGGGTCCCCTTAAAGTTACATGCAAAATTGTCTTTGTAAATAGATGCAATTCTCTGGAGCATCCATTGTGCTCACTATTCTCAAGTGAGTCCAAAGGTTAAGAACAATATCTTACTATCCCTTTTTACAAAGCACCAACTCCAAGAATCTGCCTACTCCCACACAGAGTGAAAAACATAGTTTGCAAACCCAGAGCATTATACAAATGAAAACTACTGGTCCCCTTCTCTATCATTAAGGCAGAGGAGACGGGGAATCTTCTCTACTCAACAGCATATACTGCAAGGGTTGGGAGGAGAAACTTCACCTTTCAATATTTGTTAAGTAAACTTACAGCTAAATAGTCTTTCCACACAACCATGAGACTGGTCTTTAAGCCTTGCATTAGTAAAATGTCAAACAATGTTATGAACATTATTTGTAAATATTCAAATGTTCCTAGTCATAAGCTTAGCAATGTTATCTCTTAAATTCATGTAAATGTAACAAAATACCTCTTCTGCATAGAATATGGCCAGAAAAGTATGCCAACAATACTTATCATATTTTAAAGGAATATTATATCATTTTATATTATATCTAGATACATAATATGTTACATCTAGATCTACATTTACACAATACGATATGAAAATTAGCTCTTTACTCTGAAATACTTTTATAGCATATTCTTGGCAGAAGAATATAAAATAGCAGGTTTTTAAAAGCTCATTCTTTTAAGAGAAGACAGGTCTGTAAAAAGCTAATAAATAATAAAAGAGAAACTGTATGAAAGGAAGCAACAAAGAAAATAAAAGAATCATAAGATTGTTTTATGCAATCTATGGAAATTATTATTTATACAAACTATATAAGGGGATAATACACAGACACACACACACACACACACACACACAAAGTAACCCTGATATAGGCAGAAAATCTAAAAACTACTAACTACTATTAAGTGTAAAAAGTTGTCAAGCACTGTCCTCTATAAAAAGCACCAAGCCTGTAAAGACAGACAATGCTTAGCTCACTGCTGTCCAGTCCATTCCTACTTACAGCGACCCTACAGGTCAAGACAGAATGGCCGCTGAAGGGTTCTTTCCCAAGACCATACGTTTTATAGGAGCAGAAAGCTTCATCTCTCTCCTGCTGAGCAACTGGCAGAGTCTAACTGCTGATCTATTTAAACATTTCAGAGCACTGAAATATATTCAAATGATCCTAATGATAAACTTATTAAATAAAATGTTATAAAACACCTTTTATAAATACCTTTTGTGAAAGTACTGAAACACTGAAATTAGAATAGGTTCCAGAATTCAAAAATGATTCAATCTGAGATAAAGGATGAAAAATTATACAGCTATACCTATAGTTTATTTAAAACATCTTATAATATTTAATAAGTTTATTTAAAAGAAAATTAAAAATATGAAGAGCTAGAAAATTCTTTAGCCTAGTAAAATATATACTTTAACCTAGAAGTCAAAACGCACAGAGAAAAATATTAAACACATTCCCAAAGAACAAGTTAAGGATGTCCATTATATCTTCTGTAATGCCCTGAAGGTATTCTAAAAACTCCTCACTGCCACTGAGTAGATGCCAACTCAGAGCAACCCTATAGGACAGGGTAGAACTGCCCCTGTGGGTTTCCGAGACTGTCACTCTTTACAGGAGGAGAAAGCCGTCTTTCTCCCTCGGGGCTGCTGGTGGTTTCAACCTGCTGACCTTGAAGTTAGCAGCCCAACACTTAACCACTACACCAACAGCACTACCTCCTGAAGGTATGAATCAGCACAATTATGACTCAGCACAATTAAGTGTGTGTGTGTGTGTGTGTGTGTGTGTGTGTGAGAGAGAGAGAGAGAGAGAGAGAGAGAGAGAGAGAGAGAGAGAATGGTAAATACTGGAAAAGAGTGGTAAAATTACTGCTATGGTGGTTTTTTTTTAATACTTTTTTTGGGGTTCTTACATCTCTTATCACAATCCATACATTCCTCCAATGTATCAAGCACATTTGCACATATGCCGCCATCATCATTTTCAAAGCATTCTCTTCCCACTTGAGCCCCTGATATCAGCTCCCCATTTCTTCCCCTCCCTCCCCTGCCCGCCCAGCCTCACGAACCCTTGATAAGTTATAGATTATTATTTCCATATCTTACATCGTCCTCCATTGCCCCTCCCCCACTTTTCCATATTTTTTCATACAAACAACAATAAATAACAATTATTGAGAATCAAGAATATAACACAAGCAGACATATGCATATGTTTATGGCAGCAATTTCCACAATAGCAAATACATGGAAACAATCAAACACCCCAACTACTGAAGAATGGATAAGCTCTAATATATTCATACTGTGGAATTCTATCCATTGATAAAAACACTAACTCTCTGAAACATCACAAGACCTAAGGAAAAAAATGAGATTATGCTTAGCAAACTCATTCAATCTTATAAAGATGAATATTTAATATCATCATCATTATAAACAAAAACAAAGAAGAAATGTGGTTCATTTACCAAAAGATGAAACTTTGATAACTTTGAGGCCAGGGATGGGGTGAGAAAAGAGAGAGGTTCGGGATTGGGGGAACAAAAAAATTTAAGGTTTAACAGATAAATAGATGAGAGAAAAGAGAAACCTTGCAGATTCCCTCCCCCTCGGATCTAAATATTGACTGGAGTGGCTAAAAGAGGAGGAAGAGCAAAGCTGGAGAGGACTTGGAGCCTTCAGTGAAATACAAGTTCATCTCAAGCACATGAGGAGGGGGATACAATCAATTTTTTTAAATTGTATTTTTATATTCTTCTAAAAAAGTATCTATCAAGAAAGATGCCTGCAAGTTTTATGCACCAAAACTGAGTAAAAATTCTCCTTGAGTGAGTAATACTAAATGCTCATAAATATCTCCTTGAAAAGCCAACTATTACTGATGAAAAGTACTTTGCATTCTTACTAGAGTACAGTGAAACAAATATTTATCTTCAAAGAATACAAATTATCCTTTTGCAAACCCTCCAGCAAAATAGAGGAAGCATGTAATATGTGCTATACTGGGAGGAAGTATAAGGAGGCATAAAAAATGTATAAAATCAAATCATTACAATCAAATGGCTTCTAATTTTAATAGCAAAAAATAAACAAAACCCAGAAACATGATCACCTTCTTCAGTTCCCTTCCTGAATTGTGTATTTCATAATTGGATTCTAAGTGAACTTACAGAGAATGGAATTTCTTGGCGGTTTTAATTTGTAAGAAGAAGGTACCCAGCTAGCAAGGTTGAGAGGAGGCTAGAACACTTACAAAGTACTGTTGGGATGATGGTAAAATTAATTCTTCTTGATGGGCGTGAAGTCCCTTATAGCTGCCTCTGGTGTGGCCCATTTTAAGTCAAGTGGGAAGATAATACTGACCAATCCCCTTATTAGGGTTCCATACACCTCATTTGCATGCTCCCACTTCTACAAGGGTGCCATGTACCTTAACTGTATGAGCAAACAGCTGTCCAATCCCCCTGGTGGGCCAAACGTACCTTAAATGCATAGTCCTATGCAATCTTTTGATGGAGGAGGGGGCAATACTATACCTAGAAAGGCCATATAAAAATTATCCGTTTCAGAAAAAAATTACCCATTGCATTGCAATCTTACATAGTGTACTGATACTCTACCATAAAGAATAATTCTCAAAGAGTTGTGATTACTCAAAATATGCTCTTTTCAAATCTATTACCTCTCTGTCCCATAAAAAGAATTCGGGAAACTTGAGGTGCAGAGATGTGGCCATGCAAAGATGATGGCTACTTTGTGCAGATATCAGGTAGTTCGCTAAGCTTTAAAATCACTGTAGACAGTGATGAATAAAGCAATAGACTTCGTATTGCTCTTTTTACCATAAACTCTTTATGTACATCATGGTCTACCTTCAACATTTTTGTTTCCAAAAGCAACCAGTTTAGAGATAAGCTTGGGCAATGGTTCACATTCATCTAAAAGAGACTGCTGTTTCTCTTTACCACAATGTCCACTTTCACATTGTTGTCTTTTTTTCATGTTTTTCTGATTGTCATCAATCAGAAGAACAATTCTATTCTTTGTTGGGTAACTGCTTCCCAAAGGGAAGAGCTCACTGAAATAGACTCTGCAGCAGTTGAGAACCAGGTCACAAATGTGAATGTGGCCGTGAGAGATGACTCCGAAGCTTAACAAAGCCAAGAAATACTAGATGCAGAACAAAGAGACACAGAGAAAATAGTTTCATGCTCAAAATAGCAGCATGATCAAGCTGAAGCTGAAGAAATTATACACATTCTTAAGGAAATTAAGGCTTTCTGCTTTTAAGAACAATTAATACATTATTCACTTGCCTAATTAAAAAAATACTTCCTATGATTCATAATAGCAATCCCACTAGTGGATCACAATTTGTGGATAATCCACAATACAGCTCACAATCCCATCAGACATTCTTTTGCAACGATACTTTGAATCAGACAATCAATTTTTATACAGAAATCAAGAAATCCAGGGACATTGAGCCTATAGGAAAAGAAAACATAACAAGCTTTTGAGGGGAGGAGCTATAAGGAGGGGTGAGGTAGATAAGAGGGAAATGACATCAAGAAGTGCATGAAGGAAAAGTATGCCTGGAGACTGATTATAGAAAAAAATTGTACAATTATGTTTGACTGATTGAACTATGGAATGATATGACATACGTATTAATTTCCAAGTTACAGCAAATTTTTAAAAAGCATAGATCCAGGAATGAGTTCTGGGCCTGC